GGCCGTCTACACCAAAAACGTAGGCGACAGTGGTGTCGCCAAGGACCGTGGCCGTCTACACCGTCGGTTCCTGGATCAAACGCGCGGAATTCGCAGGCGAAGCGGACGCTGGACCTGGCGGTCTGGGGCTCCCCGTCTCGTTTCTCATCGCTATGAGAACCCTCTGGCGAAGGGCTATCAGGGAAGAACTGTCTAAACATTGGTGTTCAGAGGTCCGCGCGGATGTCTTGGGTCTGCGCTGGACAATCGCCCCCACGCTGGCACGCGGAGCCCGCCGAGAAAAGAGGGCGCGAGGAGCGGGCAGAGGCCATACGCGCGACGGCGAGGGGAGGGAGGGGCCCGGGGGGGCGGGAGAGGAGGCGCGGGGCGGGGCGGGCACCAGGATTTCTCGAGATCTGGGCATATCAACTAGGTCGGGAGGAGGAAAAGGGAGAGGAGGAGGAAGAGGAGGAGGAGGAGGCGAGGGAGGAGGAGGAGGAGAGGAGAAAGGAGAGGAGAGGGAGGCTGAGGTGGAGGAGCCGCGAGGAGGAAGAAGACGGGAGGCACGGGCGGGAAGGGGGAGGGGAATGGAGAGGGGAGGGGAGGGGCACGAGGAGGGGGGGGGAATGGAAGTGGGGAGGGGAAGAGAGGAGGGGAAGAGGGAGGCGCCACCAGCAGGAGGAGGCACGAGGAGGAGGCACGAGGAGGAGGAGGCACGAGGAGGCACAAGGGGGAGGCCCGAGGAGGAGGCCCGAGGAGGAGGCACGAGGAGGAGGCACGAGGAGGAGGCACGAGGCAGGCGACGGGCGGCAGGGGCGGAGGGGCGGAGGGCTCGGAGTCCCCCTTCTGGGGAGGGGGGGGGGGGGGGGGCGAGCCCTCGGGAGGCCCCCCGGGGGCGTGTCGAGCCTCTCCCCCCGAGATGGCTCCAAGAGAACCCCACGAGGCCCCCGAGGCGCCCCCGAGGCCACGGAGGGGTCTCCACGAGGCTCCCGAGAAGCCACTCAGGGGGCCCTCGCGAGAAGCCCCGAGAAGGGCCCCCAAGAGTCCCCCCCAAGAGCCCTCCGAGAGGTCCCCTCCTGGGGGGTCGGCGGAACGGCTCGAACCACTTGAATACGTTTGTCTGGACATGCCGTCGGGCGAAGCCCGCGGCAAAAAACGAAAGCCTCTCGCGTCCCTCTGGTGCCCTGATCCTTCCACCGCTCCCCCATCTGTCGCAGGCAGACGGCGACAGCAGCGCGGCGGAGAGAGAGGGGGGAGAACAGGGCAGGAAGCGATCGAGTCTCCAGCACACCCATCGTTATACAACCGTCGGCCCTAGACGGAGCACACGTCAGATATCCAGATTGCCTCGAGCTTTTGCTCCCAAGATTGAGCATGCTTCGCTTCACCTACTGAGTGCCATCGCCTTTGCGACGAAGCGGGTTCATGAATCGGCGACTCCGAAGGGTGCGGCTTGCAGAGGGTGTGGCTTGCCAGCCAGCGCCTGTTGGGGGGCGGGCAGAGACCTCGACAGGAGACCTCTGCCGCGCCCCGACGAGGGCGCATCACATCTCTGGCTCGACCAGGGGGACCCCTGACGGCGCCAATCGCAAACCATACAAAAGCGTAACCATCGGCTACACACAAGATTGCCCCTGGGTAAGAACGACCCCTGGTGCGCGGCTCTTCGAGGGCCAAACACAGGCGCGCAAGACGCTACTATCGCACCGCACTCAGCCATCGGGGGGCCCCAGTGGGCGCGCACCAAAGGTCACCCCAGCAAAGGGTCACCCTTATGTGCAGTCGAGACCACATTGCAGTCGCCGAATGAAAGGATGCCCTCGGCTGTCGGCACGGATCAAATGATTCTGGCGACCCTCCCCCACAAGGGGACACGTATGCGGGACAACCAGTGACCGCAAGGGGCTGACCAAAGGGTCAATCGTAGGGCAACATCCACGAAGGCACAAACCACAGCGGGTGCTCTCCATAGGACACCAAACTGAAGGCGGAGAGGCTTCGATCCCCAGGGGGGGAGCCTCAGAAAGCCTTGTGCAAGGGCGCCGCCGGGAGGAAAGAGAGAGGGGAGGTCTGGCGGCTGGCCTTGTACGCCTTCCCGAGCTCCGTGTCGCAGAAGCCCTGCTTGGTCGCCTCCTTCTTGGCCTGCTCCGGTCGGGGGGGGAGGGGAGGGAGATGGGAGGATGGGGGGAGGAGGGAAGGGTGGCGGAAGGGGAGGGAGGGAGGAGGTGAAGGAGGATGAGGAGGATGAAGCGAGAGAAGCCCAGTAGTTCCAAAACTGGCCCTCCCGCAGCGAGGGCCAGGACAGGCAGGGGCTGCCACTGGCGAACCTGCCGTCGGCCTCGAGCGCCGAGGAGGAGGAGGAAGGGGGAGGGAGGGAGGAAGGCAGAGGTCGAGGTGGGCACCCCGTGATCCCTCCCTCCCTGCTGGGAGGCAATAGGGGAGCGAGCAATCACATAAACAAAAACACTCGGAGGTCTGCGCGCGGACGTCTCGGATCGGCGCTGGACCCCCCCCCCTCCCTGGCGCGCCGCCGGGGGGGATCCGAGAAAAATCCGCGCGGACCTCCGAGTTCCCGTGACTGTGTCATTCTCCGCTCCCCCGGGCGAGGCGGCGGCGGGGCCTCGTCGAGGAGGCGCACGATCAGGTCCTGGATCATGGTCTTCACCTGCGCCCACGGCGCCCCCCCCCCCCCCGGGGCAGCGAGAGGGGGGCGACCGAGGCGGGAGCGGGGCCCCTCCTCCTTCTCCTCCTCCTCCTCCTCCTCCTCCTCTCTTCCTCCTCCTCCTCCTCCTCCTCCTCCTCCTCCTCCTCGTCCTCCTCCTCCTCCTCCTCCTCCTCCTCCTCCTCCTCCTCCTCCTCCTCCTCCTCCTCCTCCTCCTCCTCCTCCTCCTATTGGTTTCCTCCTCCTCCTCCTCCTCCTCCTCCTCTTCCTCCTCCTCCTCCTCCTCCTCCTATTGGTTTCCTCCTCCTCCTCCGAGAAAACCGGAAATCAAAAATCAAAACCCGGACTTTCAAAAGTCCGAGTTGTGGGAGGATTTGCAATGAAAAACCCGGACTTTGAAAAGTCCGGGTTGTTAGTAGGGACAAGAGAGGATTGGAGAGGAGAGAGGAAAGGAGAGAGGAGAGGAGAGAGGAGAGGAGACAGGAGAGAGGAGAGGAGAGAGGAGAGGACGGAGGAGAGGGAGAGGAGAGAGGAGAGGAGAGAGGAGAGGAGGGAGGAGAGGGAGAGGAGAGAGGTTTGAGGGGAGTGCAGAAGGGTGGGGGGTTGTGGACCTTTGGATTCCTGGGTCTACCCCCGCAAGGAGCCCCAGAATACCGCGCTCGTGAAAAATGGCGCAGACATACACATTTCCCATGGAAACGGGACCCGTCGCTAATCCACGCCCCCGTGGTCCATGTTTGCGATCGCCTGATGAGGGACAGGTTGTTTCCTCGGAGCTCCTGGAGGGCCACCCGCGGCGGCGGCAGTCGCTCAGGGACTTGTTTTTCCTCAGAGCTCCTCGAGGGCCACTGTCCTGCAGTCCTCGGCCCCCCCGCGTTCGCTGGTCCCCCGCCTGCTAGAGGCCTCGCACCGCGCCCCTCCGCCGCCCAAGCCCCCCGCCCCTGACTGCCTACCAGACCACCCCAACCGAACCCAAAGACCCGGATCTCGGGTTGCGGGGGGGGAGTACGGGTTCCACGTGTGTTCGATCAATGTTCCCCGACGACACCCCTTCGGTGGCAACTCATGGGAGCCTCCAATACCATCTTTTGTCGGCTCTTGCGGATCGACGCAATTCGACGCTAAAGCGACGCTAATCGACGCTACGTCGACGCCAATCGACGCTGGCCGACGCTAAATCGTCGCTGTCTCATCGACTCCCAGACGCTACTCGACGCGAATCGACGCTAAGCGACGGCATCGTAAATATACCAGGATCCCATGATTTCCTGACGAAACCCCCTCCGCTGGGAATGGAGGGCAGACTGGGGCCTTCGGGCTGGACCGGGCTGCTTCGTCGGGCGGTGACCCCCGCCTTCGCAAAGGGGTCCTTCCTGAGGCTGGCCGCCACGGCGGTCAGCGCGGCGCTCCTCGCGGCGAGGCTGCCGTGCCCCCCCTCGCCGCGCTCCGGGCGGGCGGCGGCCGGGCAACCCGCAGCCGCCGTGGCGCAGAGGCCAAACCTCGGCATCGCTCGGACGTCCAGTCCCCGCGTAGTTTTCCGAGTTCGCGAGGGCATGCTTTCGCGAGATGACCCCAGATGCACATCGATGGTCCTCGCCGAAGAGACTCCGCACACGTCCGAGCGACGACCAGAAACAGGGTACCACCCCTGCCCCGCGTCCCACTCGTGGCCGTTTCCGGGGAAACCACCGACTCCCCAGACCTCTCCCTGACTGCATTCTGGCGAGAAGTTCGAGGCGGATCCAGCTGTGGCGACGAGGGCATCCCCGGAGGCCCAAAGAGGCGAAACCGAGGGAGAGGCAGCGGTACCAGCACCTTCTCCAGACGCCTCCTAGATGGGGTCCGACTAGAGGATTGCACCAAATCGGCGATGCATCGGCGACGTCGGCGTGTAGAAGATCGGGCTCCACATCAAGCCGCATCGCCGATGCATCAGCGATGCGGCGCGATCCACCGACCCCATCTACTCGGACCCCATCTGGGAGGCATCCTGGGAGGCCCAAAAAGGAGAAAACGAGGGAGAGGCAGCGGTATCGGCACCTTTTCCTCGTCTGACCTTCCCAGCGCCCCCCTGGAGGAGGAGGAGGAGGAGGAGGAGGAGGAGGAGGAGGAGGAGGAGGAGGAGGAGGAGGACGAGGAGGAGGAGGAGGAGGAGGACCTCTTCATTTTCTGACGTTTCCTCATCTGACCTTCCCCCCATCCACCCACAGATACACACACACACACACACACACACACAGACATATCCCGTGCTCAGCGCTCCCTGCGAGCCGCCACCCCCCACGCCCCTGTGGGGGAGGCTCAGGGACGCACCGACCTGGGCCAATCCAAACCTGGGCCAGTTGGGTCTGGCAGGATCCTGCCAGATCCTGCAGGATCCTGCGAGATCCTGCGCACCTCACCCCGGGTCAGTGCACCCCTGGCTCTGCAGGATCCTGCAGGACTACTGGCCCTCATTTACGCAGAAAGCATCTATACACCACCACCGTGCCAGGCCAGGCCAGGAGGGTCTATACACCATCCTACGGCCCAGGATGGCCCTGGCCTGGCACGGTGGTGGTGTATAGATGCCTTCGTCGGATCATTTGTATCGAACCCCGCCTCTTGAGCCCCGAGAGGCGCGTCGCTGCACGACGCCTGGAAAACCCTGCTCTCGGAGGCGCGAGCCGTGGGCGCGGACGCTCTCCGGTGCCGGGGGGCGGCTCCGATTGGGGGGCAGCCCTCGGCCAGGGCACAGCCTCGCTTGAGGGGGCCCCAGGACACACACATAAATATACACAAATAAAAAGATTCCCCATATTTTCCCATACTTTCTGGGTTTTTGTCTTCCCCCCCACTTCCCATATTTTCCATATTTTCCCATCTTTTCCTGGGAATCGAGGATTAATTGTGTCTGTGTGTTTTTGTCCCCTCCTGATCGCTGCGCACAAAAGAAGTAGACACGAGTCCCAGGATAAGGCAAAGCCAGGAGCCTGATTTGTCATGCTCTGGGATAGCGGCAGTCACTGGCCCGCCGGCGGCGCCCAGGAATGCCGAGGGATGACCGAGGCCAAGCAGGAGCAGCATGAAGGCGGCGATCTGCACCGCAGCGCCTGTTTACACCACAGTGCTCGCGTGCACCGCAACGCGCATGTACACCACAGCGCCTGCGTACACCGCAACAGCCGTGTACAAAGCAGCGCCTGTGTACACCACAGTGCTTGCGGGCACCACAGCGCCTGTGTACACCACAGCGAATGTGTACACCGCAGCAAGCATGTGCAACACAGCCGCCGTGTTCACCACAATGCCTGCGTGCACCGCAGCGACTCTGCACACCACATACACCACAGCATCCGCGTGCAATGCAGCGCCGGTGTACAAGGACATAGACGGAGCATCTAGGTGCGGACCTGCTGCGGACAGCCAAACACCACGTAATGGAAGTGCTGATAATAAAATGTGATGCTCTTCCCTCCTCCCTCCTCCTCCGCCTCTTCCTCCACCTTCTCCTCCTCCTCCTCCTCCTCCCTCCCTCCCTCCCTCCCTCTCCCTCCCTCCCTCCCTCCCTCCTCCTCCTCCTCCCTCCTCCTCCTCCTCCTCCTCCTCCTCCTCCTCCTCCTCTTATTCCTCCTCCTCCTCCTCCTCTTTCTCCTCCTCCTCCTCCTCCTTCTCATGCTCCTCCTCCCTCACCCTCACCCACGTCGTGCGGGTCGGCACTACAGCGCACGTGCGCAACTTAGCGTGCACCGCAGAGGGGTTCGAATGGATTATTGAATCAGTCCACTTGGTTTTCGGACGGCAAATTCTGTGGGAGCCTTCTGGACGCAAATGGGAGGAGTTAGGATGATGCGGGAGGACTCGGGAGGACTCGTAGATTCCAGCGGCGCTCCTTTCTCCATAAGGATTCCTTTCCAAATCCGATACAGAACAAATGTTTTCTGTTGAATCCAGAGGCGCTCCATTTTGTCATAAGGATTATGCCTAAAAGTCCATACACAACAATGGTGCTCTGTTGCACACGGGTGCTGTGGTGCTCACATGCGCCGTGGTGTGCACATGCGCTGTGGTGCACGCAGGCACTGTGGTGCATACGGGTGCTGTGTTGCACACGGCTGCTGTGGTGTACACAGGCGTATACCAGTTGGGTTGTGTTGCTCAAGGTGTGCTGTGTTGTACACGGCTGCTGTATTGCACACGGCTGCTGTGGTGTACACAAGCGCCGTTGAGCACGCAGGCACAATGGTGCATGCATAATGGCGCTGTGTTGCACGCGGCTGCTGTGTACATAGGCGGTGTGGTGTACACAGGCGCTGTGAACCACGCAGACACTGTGGTGTACATAGGCGCTGTGGTGCAGATCGCCATTCCTAAGCATTCACAGACGCCGCTGGCGCGAAACGTGGCGTCACCGGCTCCCTCCCTCCCCAGGTGACAGCCGTCATCGCCCCAGAATTAAAAGAATAGAAAAACAGGCTCCAGGACGAGGATCAAAACGGGTAAGGATAAATCGAGAATCTCCGAGGTCCAGCGGCTCTGGAGGATCTCCCGGGCGGGCGCCGCGACTTTCTCCGAGCGTTCCAGAACGCTCCAGAACGCTTTGGAAAGGATATATCCTCTTCCTGGCCTCGTCTGACAGGATTCCCCATAGGTTCCATATTTTCTGGATGCTCGTCTTTTCCTCCGCTTCCCGTAGTTTCCATATTTCCCTGGGAGTCCATATTTCCCTGGGAGTCCACGCCGAAGAGCTCAAAAACTCGCCTCGAAGAAGGGTAAGGGTCACCAGCCTGCAAGGGTGCATCCACCAGGGGAACATGATCCTGGATGTGAGTGCTGGTGGTAATCTCTCGGCCATCGGAGAAGCCAAAATAGTACCACCATTACCGAGATCAAGATCATCTTCCCTCGATGGATGCAACCGCCAGCACTGTTGGTGGTGCAACCTCGCAGCCTCCGACATTCCCCTTCCTGCTCATCCTCCCCCTCCCCTCCGCGTCCCCCACCGCTGCCCCCTACCACTAAACATAGTGTTCCTCTACTCGAGCGGTCGCCGACCCAAAATATGCTCATCCACACCACCCTGGTCCAAAAGCAACGCAGAGTGCACGTTGCAGCCAACGCTGGACCACGTGTGGGCGCCCAGTGATCTTTCTGCAGTGGTGTCTGGCAAAGACAATGGGGTCAGATCAAACTTTTCGCAGCGCGCTGGTAAACCCTTACCATCAAGCGTATGCTACCGGAGTTCCCGACAAAAGGGCTTGTTATTGGAACGAGCGCTCGAGGGTGAGGGCAGGAGGATATGATTATCCAGTGTTGCCTCCTCCTCCTCATCCTCGTCCTCCTTACATCCCTCCTCTTCCGTTCCACCAACGTCATCCTTATCCTTCCTCCTCGCTCTCCTCCTCCTCGCGCCCTCCTCCTGAAGAACCCCTCTCAGGATGTGGGGCGTGGAACTGTTCCATACAGATGTGTCAGCCTACCTGGAGGTGGGGCGCTTGGGGTGGTCAGGGCAGGAACCCCTGAGAAAACACAGGGTGGGAGAGGGAGGGAAGAAGGAGAAATGGGAGAAGCAGAGGGAAATGGATACGGATGGATGGATGGCACGCTGATCGAAGCGGTGACTGCACGCAAACTTGTGGAAGGCCAGAGAAAACTAGGTCATTCTGTCCTGGCCGCACAGGGAGAGAAGCAGCTGAAGGGACAGGTCCTGAGCACCTGATAGTCCCCGAAGCCATGCGGCGAACAGCCCGTGCACCAGGCTCAGCCTACAGCGTGCCATGTGTAGACGCGTCATCGCGCAGCTCGTGCGCCCTTCTTTGACCAACCGCAGGCCCAGGCACGTCAGACTGACTGACGCAAGCCACTCAACATCTTCCTAACGATAAGCGTGCCCAGCCATGGAACGTCCATGGCGCTGTAGAGGTGATAGCCACGGGATGCAGCAGAAGCAGCAAACACGGGACCGCTGGGTAACGATGTTGCCTCTCGCCTCCCTGGCCCTGCGCATGCTAAGCTGTGCAAGGGTCTCGTAGGGATCCCGGCGAAACGGCAGGAGATGAGGACGAGGAGGAGGAGGAGGAGGAGGAGGAGGGTGACCGGGGCAGGGGAAGTGCGGGGAGCAGGAAGAGGAGCTGAGCTGAGATGAGCCTCCCCCAGCAGAGCTCACCTCTCGACTCACCCTCCCTGACTGTCGGCCTCTACCGTTTTTCGGAAATAGGAGGAGGACAAGGAGGAGAAGGATCTCCCAGAGCCCCCCCCCCACTGCGGCTGTAGTGGAGGAGGAGGAGGAGGAGGAGGAGGAGGACGACGACGACGACGACGACGACGAGGACGGGGACAACGAGGCGGAGGAGGAGGGGGAGGACGACGAGGGGGTCGAGGAGGATCCCCCAAAAGGACGAGGAGGAGGAAGGGGACGAGGAGGATCCCCCCCCACACCCTTCGACCGCATGGGAACGGCACTGCGAGGAGGCGTCGCCCAGGCGCAGGCGGGCCCCCCGAGAGGGGGGGCGCGTCTTGAGCTTGATGCCCGCGTCGCGCAGGAGCTCCTCCGCCTGGCGGGGCGCGGCCGAGCGCCCGGCCTCCACGCAAACACTTGGCGGGGTCTCGGCCGCGGGAGGACGCCTCCCCCGTCGCCCCGACCCCTCCCGCTCCTCCAAAAGACGAAAGACGCACGGTAGTTCACGGGCGAAGAAGGGTCCAAAATAGAATTTTGTCGCTGTCGGGGGCGCCTGTCCCTGGGCGGCTGGAAGGTTTATACCCCTACGGTGGCACCGTAGGGGTATAAACGTTCCAGCCGCCCAGGGACAGGCGCCCCCGACAGCGAAAAAGTTTATGTTATACCGTTCTTCGCTCGCTGAAGTAGATATAGATAGATGTATGTATAAAAAAGAAGAAGGAGAAAGAGGAGACAACAAACAAAAGAACATCTGCATACACATTGACCTTCGGACTTCTTGGATCGGCGCCGGGCCCCACTCCCGGACGCGCGTGGCGAGCCAGGGGCAGCGCCAAAGGGGCCGCAGGGGAGGCGTCCAGCGCCGATGCGGGAAATCCAGACCCCTCCCCCTCGCCCTGCCCCGTCTGACGGGTGTTGTGTTCTCCATGCCCGAGAGGTTTCCAACTTGTCAACGTGTTCTTATTCGGCGTGCCGGATTTGGGCAGAAGGGGGGGGGAGGGGGGGGGGCTCCAGACCTCTCCTTCATGCGACTGCTTGCAACAGTGCGTCCTATGGGGGAGACTCCACTTGCTTGAAACAGGCGCCAAAAAGAGCCAAGCTCTACTCCACGGGGGGGAGGCGGGATGCGAGGGCCCGCGCCGATCGACAAAACAATTAAAAAAATCGATCACCTTGGGATGCTCTTTGTCTGGCGCATCAACATGGTTCGTCTCTTCTTTGGAGTCCCGAAACGGTTCGGTGACAGACCGTGCGGTGACCTCGAAAAACCCAAGAGACCTCACCGCACGGTCCGTCACTGCACGGTCTTGGGACCCTAGAGGCCCCTCTCGCCCGAGACGTCCTCGGAGAGGGACTCGAGTCCCAGAGCCGTGCGGTGACCCCGAATCCCCACCGACTCGCCACACGGTGTGGCCACCGCACCGTCTGGGGGCCCCCGGATCTTCGTCGTCTCCCTGCCCCTCACCTTCTCGACCCGGGGTGCTCGTCTGGCCGCCCCCGTGCGGACGCGTGCCGCTCCCCCACACCCCGAGAGCTGGGCGCCGCAACTTGCTCACACCAGGAGTTCCCGCCGGCGGGCGGGCCCCAGGGCCATCACAGATCGCTCCAGCTTGATCGGCGCCATAGAGAGATGGGGTCTAGGGCTCCTGCGCGGATCTTCCGCGGCTTCGCCGCACTGTATTTTCGCGGCGATGCTGGTTTTGTATGCAAAATCCACGTTCAAAGCACGCCGTAAACGCGGGAGGCGCCAGGGGCAGCCATTGGCACATCGGTGGCCAGACCCAAATATGACGACTTCTCGTTTGACCAGTCCCTGTCTATTGGTCCCCAACTGCCCCCGGAACCGGGGGCAACCCCAGCAACAACTCCGTCAATGTCGCCTTCAAGCGGGGCGCACTTACACCTGGGTCACCTGAAATTAGGGCATCTCGGAGCCAAGGACTCCGAAGATGACTCAGGGCGAAACGGGCCTGAGCACCTCGCGGACAACGTCTTGGAACCCAGAGTTGTGAGAACGTCTCAAGCGAAACGGGCCAGAGCACCTCGCGAGCCGCCTCTTGGAACCCAGAGGTGTGAGTTGCGAGAATGTCTCAAGCCAAGCGGGCCAAAGAACCTCCATTCAAGGCATCTCGGAGCCAGGGATCCCGAGAATGTCTCATACGAAATACTGAGCACCTGGCGAACCGCATCTTCAACCCAGAGTTGCAAGGACGTCCCAGGCCAAACGGTCAGAGCCAGGGATTCCGAGGATGTCTGAGGAGAAACGTACGTGAGTACCTAGCGAACAACATCTTGGAACCCAGAGTGGTGAGGACGTCTCAAGCGAAACGGACCAGTGCACCTCAACTCAAGATCTTGAAGCCATGAGGTTCCGAGGATGTTCCAGGGAAACAACGTACTGAGGATGTCTCAGGTGAAACGGAACAGAACATCTCAAGTCAGGGCATCTCGAACCCGGGGTATCTTCAACCCAGAGTTGCGAGGACGTCTCGGACCGAACGGTCGGAGCCAGGGATTCCGAGGATGTCTCAGGCAAAACATGCCCGATGACCTGGCGAATCACATCTTGGAACCCAGAGTGGTGAGGACGCCTCGAGCAAAACGAGCAAGAGCACCTCAAGCCAGAGCCTCTCGGAGCCACAGGTTCCAAGTATGGCTCCCCGTGGGCCATGGGGCGCACCCAGCTCCTTCCAACCGCAGTGGCCAGCGAGGGAGGACCAGGCGGCTCCGACGCACGCCTCCACCCTGTAAAACGAATGGACCGCTCGAGACATCCCCACAGTGTGGGCGCGAACGGGCAAGTGACACACCCTTCGTCGGCAGGGCACCGGCCCGCATCAGCAGGCACGATCACATCGCGTCCAGCCCTGGCGACGAGAAGTGTCCCGAGAGGAGGTACTGAAAACAAGAGTACTGCTCCGACAGCAATACGAACGTTATCCTTCCTCCCCATCGTCCTCAGTCATGCTGCTATTCCTCATCCTCCCCCTCCTCCTTCGCTTCGCGCTCCTCAACGGTTGCTCGGAATTGCGGGGACGTCTCATGCGAAACTGGCTTGACCCCCTCGCACGCGGCATCTATTTGCCCAGAATTGCGGGGACGACTCAGGCGAAACTGACCGGATCACCTCGCGGGCGACATCTTCAAGCCTAGCGTAACGACGATGTCTCAAGCGAAACGGATGAGGCAATCTCAGGTCACGGTATCCTCGAACCCAAGCAGACTTGTGAGGATGTCTCGTACGCAAGAAGCCGAAGCATCTCAGCACGACGCCAATGTCTCGACGCGCGGGCCCCTCGGACGGCAATCTTTCTTACCGCACCAGTGCTTTTGAACGGAAACAAACCAAAAGTGCCCAAATGCTTGCTGATAGCAGGCGGAACCCCAGCGTCGTCCCGCAGGAACGCAAACTTCGCCTCCAACCGCGTATCCGAGCTCAAAGGCCCCCATGCCTTTCTGCCCGCCTCTCCCTGCCGTCCTGCTCCTCCCCCCGCGTCCCTCCTTCTCCTCCTCCTTCTCCTCCTTCTCCTCCTCCTCGTCTTCCTCCTCCTCCTCATCGTCCTCCTCCTCCTCGTCTTCCTCCTCCTCCTCCTCCGCCTCGTCTTCCTCCTCCTCCTCCTCCTCCTCCTCCTCCTCCTCCTCCTCCTCCTCGTCATCCTCCCTCCTCCTCCTCCTCCTCCTCCTCCTCCTCCTCCTCCTCCCCCTCCTCCTCCTCATCGTCATCGTCATCGTCATCATCATCATCAACATCAACATCACATCATCATCATCATCATCATCATCAGCATCATCATCATCATCATCATCATCATCATCATCATCATCATCATCATCATCATCAGCATCATCATCATCATCATCATCATCATCATCATCATCATCATCATCATCAGCAGCAGCAGCAGCAGCATCATCCGTGTCATCATCCTAATCATCAGCAGCATCATCATCATCATCATCATCAGCAGCAGCAGCAGCATCACCATCATCAGCATCATCATCAGCATCGTCATCATCAGCATCAGCATCAGCATCAGCATCATCCTCACCATAAGCAGCATCATCATTATCATCAGCAGCAGCATTATCATCATAATCAGCATCATCAGCATTATCATCAGTATCACCGCCATCAACAGCAGCAGCATCATCAGAAACATCATCATCATCATCATCAGCAGCAGCAGCAGCCTCATCTCATCATCAGCATCATCAGCAGCAGCCTCATCAGCATCATCATCAGCATCAACATCAGCATCAGCATCATCAGCATCATCAGCATCAGCATCATCAGCATCATCAGCATCATCATCAGCATCATCAGCAGCAGCATCATCATTATCCTGCTCCTCCTCCTCCTCGTTCTCCTCCTCCCGCTCCTCCTCCTCTTCCTCCTCCTCCTCCTCCTCCTCCTCCCCTTCCTCTCGGGAAGCCCGGCAGGCACAAGGCAAGAGGGAACGTCCGACGGATGGCGCTGCAGAACGGCGCAGCGCGGGCGGCCTGCAGCAGGCTCGACGAGGTACTGCGGAGGCTGGCGGACCTCTGCGACGATGCGGCCGCCATCCTGCTCTTCCTCCTCCTCCTCCTCCCTCTTCCTCCTCCTCCTCCTCCTCCTCCTCCTCCTCCTCCTCCTCCTCCTCATCCTGCTCTTCCTCCCTGCTGCTCTGCCTCCTCCTCCTCCTCATCATCATCATCATCCTCCTCATCCTCTTCAATCCTCCTCTTCCTCCTCCCTCCTCCTCCTCCTCCTCCACCACCACCTCCTCCTCTTCCTCCTCCTCCTCCGCCTCATCCTCCTTCCCTTTGTCACATTAATCACTCATCCCTGTCGCACCCCGAGGCACGTCGGTAGAGCTGGACGGGCGTTTCGTCTGAGACTTTCTAGCCATGTATGCTGCTCCATCGACAACTTGCAAAGAGTTTCACGGATGGAGGGCGGACCGCATTCAAAATGTGGTTCTCGCTGGCGCGCCGCGCACGGTCGTCTGACAAATTGGCAAGAACTTTACGGATGGTGATCGCCTTGACGGTGACGGAACCTGAAGATGAAGATGCCTCTTCAAGATGGTTCGGGTCCGTTGGCGACGAGATCAGATGTACTTCCAGACGGGTGGAGGGGCCGAGGGAGTCGAGGTCGTCCGTCCCGTCGTCCATTTGGTGGAGCGGGCTGACCAAGCGCTGGCGACCGTCGCGCTGCAGGGTGTTCCCAACTGGCGTCCCTGGCATTCGGACGCTCTTCGCAACCATCGAAAGATAAGGGTATGGGAACGGAAATCTTGGAATGTTGAGAGTGAGGTAGAGTAGTAGTATGCACCACACTTGATCGGATCTTGAGCCCTTGAGCCCATGGAGATCATCCTTGAAAGGAAGCTGAAAGAGCGGCTCGACCCTATGACGTCAGTCGAGTCGATCACCCAGCGGATGGACAAGGTGGAGCTGAATGTGAAGAACAGCGTGGACGAGATGAGGAAGCGCATGGACGCGTTTGAGCAGTCCGGCGTATCCAAGGACATCACCAGAAAGATCCAGGATACTGACAACAAGATCCACCATCTAGCAGAGCAGGTCGACCAGATGAAGATGTACTTCGATGGGACTGGCACCGCTCCACCATCGTGGAACAGTTCCCCGAGAACTATACCTACGGAGGAACGAAACATCACTGCGGTGGTCAGTGGTCTCGCCGACATGCGGGAGGAGGAGGCAAAGGAGTGGATTCAAAATCAGCTTTGGGAACTTTGGGTACCTATGCCTACACAGGTATATGCCAAGGGGGACTTCAACGGCATCCTCTTCCTGAAGTTCCGCACGGAGGATGAGAAGGAGCAGGCGATCAAGGCAGTCAGGGAGAACTCCTTGAAGTACGGGGATGAAAAGGTAAACATTTTCCAGACGCGCCTGCTGACGAACGGTTCCCACAATCATGTTTGTTGTTTGCTCTCAAGCGCTTCTTGGTGGAATGGACTACGATAGGAAATGCGTGTGGGTTGACATTCCGAGCCAATCGTTGTACGCAGGTGGAGAGAGAGTCATCAGCACTGGAGTGGACGGCACGGATCTCATCACAGATTTTGGGGAAGGTTGGAGAGATGTTCTTCGTGGCGAGAAGCTCGAGGAAATGGTGAGCACGCACAGAGAGAAGTCCCACCAGCCCTTTGGGCGTGAGTGGTTTAGAGAGCCCGCTCTGTCCTCAACCCCCCTTCTTCCCCTTCGGGGAGGGGTTTACCCCTCCCCCTACCCCCTCCCCCTGGGCCTGGACAGGGAGTCCCGAGTGTTCTCAGGGGGGTCTTTTTCGACTCCTGGGAGGGCCAAAAAACGACGACCCTCACGAGGATTCTGGCCCCGACGGGGGGGCCGAGTTTGGCCCCTCTGCTCTTCTTTGAAGCAAAAATCATTGATTTTACTACGGTTTTGGCCCCATTTTGGCCTCCTGAGGGGGCCGCGCTTCTCTTCCTCCATAGCAAAATCGTTGATTTGACGAAGGTTTTGGGCTCATTTTGTCCTTCTCAAGGGGCAGCGCTCATTTGCGCTTCTGAAGAGATCGCCAGAGGCCCCAAGATGGCCCCAAGAGGCCCCCAGGAGGCTCCCAAGAGGCCCCCAAGAGGCCCCCAAGAGGCCCCCAAGAGGCCCCAAGAGGCCCCCAAGAGGCCCCCAAGAGGCCCCCAAGAGGCCCCAAGAGGCCCCAAGAGGCCCCCAAGAGGCCCCCAAGAGGCCCCCAAGAGGCCCCAAGAGGCTCCAAGAGGCCCCCAAGAGGCCCCACGAGGAGCCCGAACGACTCACACCAGGACGAGGGGCCCGAACGACTCACACCACGAAGAGCCCGAACGACTCACACCACAAGGAGAGGCCCGAACGACTCACACCAGGACGAGCCGCCCGAACGACTCACACCATGAGGAGCCCGAACGACTCACACCACGACGCGGGCCTCGAACGACTCACACCACGAGGAGCCCGAACGAGTCACACCAGGAGGACGGGCAGCGCTCATACAAGCCCCCCACGATGGCCCCCAGAGGTCCACCAGATGGCCCCTAGAGTTCCCCAGATGGCCCACAAGAGGTCCGCAGGAGGCACCACGAGGCCGCATGTTTCGCAAGAGTTGCTGTTTTCAGATGGGCTGGTGGGGATACGCCAAGCGTGAAGAATTGAAGAGACCCCTCACGCCGAAGAGAGGCAAGGGCAAATAGGCAAGGGCAAGAGCAAGCAGCAGGACGGGCCGAGGGCCCGGAAACAGGGACAACGCCGATCGAGTCAAGTACAGTCGGGGCCTTGACCGAAGGAACCCAGAATAAGGAGCGAGGCCCCTTTTTTACATAAGTTAAACGTCGATTTCCGATCGAAAGCATAAGGAAAGCCTGAGGCAAGCTGCGAGACACTCAAGGAACGCGGAGCCCCAACCCAACGCCAAGGGCTCCTTCTTCAGCGCCCCGACTGCATCACCCCATCCGCGGGATGGGAAATTGCATGCGTTCTGCAAGACTGCGCGGCTCAGTGGCCCACACAGACTTGCAGAGCTGATCGTTGAACTAACGGCTTTAGACTGGGACAGTATTCTGTTCAGTGAAACTCGCGCGGGAAGTCAAACAGTGGAGTTGGAGGGTGGGCATCGTCTATATATGCACCGTGGAGATTACTCAGCGTCAGGTGTGGGCGTAGTGATACATGCACGGTTGGTTGGCAACATTCGTTCGACACATTTTGTTTCTGATCGAATACTCCGTGTTGATTTGCAGCTCGCTCAACGGAGGGTTCCATTTTGTGCTGTTTATTTACCTCATGCGGGATACCCGGCTGAAGCTTTGGACCAGGTGTACGAGCAAATACACCAGACGCTGGCAGAAGCAGTTCGAGACGGAAATGCAGTCGTGGTGGGGGCGATTCAATTCACAACGGGGATTTGGAGTGCGTGGCCAGAAGATAGCTGAGATGGCGGCCGCTTTCAACTTGAAGGTCGTCAATGGTGATGGGAATGGACGTGATGAGCACAGTTGGACCTTTCAGAGTAGTTAGGGGCAGTTGCGGAGGATTGACTTCATTCTTACATCTTCGTACCTGCACGTGTCGACTTGGAATGCGTCAGGATATGTGGACTTGGGTCAGATCACGGTGCTGTGTACGTGCTCGTCGTTGGGCGGATCTCGCGCCGGCGAGCCAAGGGAGCAAGATCATCGATGCGAGGGTGGACTCCTTTCGAAAACGACGCTGTTTGCCAGAAAGCCTTGGACGAGAAGCTCACAAACCATGCGCCATCATCGTTACTCGAAGCAGAAGCGATACTTTTCGACACGGCTGCAGCTCATGGAGAGGGCGCGTGCAGCAAGCGACGACGGTTCCGCGACCAGCCGTGGGACTCACCTCACTTTCAGGACCTTCTTCAACAGAGGCGTCATACACGCGACCCCCAGCACCGCAGAGAGCTTTCTAAACAGATCCGGAAACACATCCGCAGGGAGCTCAGAAAACAGAAGAGTCAACGATTCCAACTTATCCTCGACGAGTTCATCGAGCTCGACCGGATCAGCGACGCAAGAAGACTACCGGCATGTTCCTCTGAAGTTGGATCTGGCGCGCAAGCAGGGCCGGATAATTTTGCCACCTATCTGAAGGGGATCTTCAGGAGTGGATGGACGTACTCATCTGGATCAGCTTCTGCATATCCAATATATAAAAAACGGCGGCTCTACGAGAATTCGCCCTTTTACTATGTGGGAGCTTCGGCGTGCACTGAAACCGATGAAACTTCGAAGGGGTCCAGATGAGTTTGGGATCGTCGCGGAACTGTTCAAATAATCTTCAGATAAGTTCTTGGGCCTTCTACTTGACCTGTCCAATACGATGTTTCAGGAGTGCGTAATTGACCCGACCTGGAGAGAGACAGTATTTTCGATGCTTCCGAAGACAATGCCAAGAATATCATACAAACTCTTCGCACGTCTGTTGTACCACCGCCTTCGTGGAGTGCTGGACGCACAACAATCAGGCGACCAAGTTGGTTTCCGAAGTAAAAGATCGGTGGACGACGCCTTCATTGTATTCAAGACTGTCTGTGGCAAGTATTTGGAATGGAATGTGCCTATGTGGTGTTCAAGTTTGGACTTGAGCAAGGCCTTCGAACGAATCGAATTCCAACCGCTGCTTGATTCGCTCCGGAGCCAAGGTGTGGGAGACGAGTACATCGCCATGTTGTCCGTCATCTATGCAAACCAGCGCGGGCGAGTTCGTGGATCTCGTCGTTTTGGGATACAGCGAGGCGTTAAGCAAGGCGACATCCTGAGCCTGCTGCTTTTTAATGCGGGGGTCGAAGTAGCACTTCGCAAATGGAAGGCCAGGATTGTCGGGACAGGAGTTCGAGTTGATGAAGGGGACGCCTTAACACTCATCAGATACGCGGACGACATCATGATTTTCGCGGCATCACGTGCGGATCTCATCAAAATGGCCACGGCGATCAAAGAAGAACCTACGAAAGTCGGTCTCAACCTGAACGCCGGAAAGACCAAGGTACTTACGACAGCATGCGACATCAATCTGGGTTCGTTGGACATCGGGGGCGAGCCCGTGGACGTCCTAAACGGCGACATGGCCCACAAATATTTGGGAAGGAAGCTGTGCGGCAACCTCCGTTCGAGGAGTCCTCTTGAGTTTGGCCACCGGATTCAAATAGCATGGATGAGATTTCATCAACATCGTGACGTTCTAATGGACAAGCAGTTGAGCATATACTCCCGGATCAAGTTCTTCGAATCACTCCAACGATATTGTTCGGCCTCTCGTCTTGTGCAATGACGCGGACACAAATGAGCTCATTAGATGTGCTTCAGCGGAAGATGCTTCGAAAAATCGTTGGGTGGGTTCGTATGGAGGGTGAACCGTGGGACGAAACAATGCGGAGGATGAGGCTTAAAGTGAATGCTGCTCTAACAACTTACTCAATGGAAGACTGGAGCGTCCAGTTGCTACGACGGCAATACAGGCTGGTTCATCGTGTTGGCACGATGTCGGACAGCTGGCCTGCAAGAGTATCGCGTTGGCACCCACCTGCAACGTGTCCTGAGGCTGGACGATCACGCGGACGACCCGCTGTGAGGTGGGACGACTACCTGCGCAAGTTCGCAAGGGAGTATTCTGAAAGCGAATGGTATGAAGTGAGTTTGGACGACTCTTCTCACGAGCACGAAGAGGACTTTGTGCGTTTTTCCCTCGGGCTCCAAGAGTGAGGCTTGAGGTTCAACACAGTCGCGCCCGATTCTGGGCCGAGCACTGGCTCGATCGGACTGCCTGCCTGCCTGCCTGCTTTACGGATGGACGGGCAGCCTTCAAAATGTGGTTCTCGCCTTAGCGCCGCGCATGCTCGTCTTGAAAATGCACAAGGGTTTCACGGATGGGGGGGCGGACCGCTTTCAAACTGTGGTTCTCGCCTTCGCGCCGCGCACACTCGTCATACTAAGTGTAGGAGATTCACAGACGGCTCGCCTTAGCGCCGCGCACATTCGTCTGAGAACTTCCACTAACTTCAATGATTCCCCTGGTTGCCGTCCCAAACGGTGTTTTGGCGCGATGTCGAACCGTCAGGGCGCAACAGTTACGCCGATTCGCGGTGTTGAAATCCCAGGAACGGCGTTCTGGCACGACTCAGGATCGTCATGACGCAACAGTAGCGGTGATATGCGGCGAGTCCCAGGAATTGCGTTCTAGCATAATTCAAGATATTCAAACGGTTGGCTCCAACCGCGCACTTCCCTAAGTAGAAGTGGATCTTTGAAGGGGCACATAGGGAGGTAACTTGGAGGCACGGTTGTTTGCAACATCGTTGATGAGCCTTGGGTTTACACTGGTCCTCCTCCTCCTCCTCCTCCTCCTCCTCCTCCTCCTCCTCCTCCTCCTCCTCCTCCTCCTCATGACACTCGTGATGCGGAATGCGCCCTCTTCACGGAGAGAGGCCCTCGACGTCCCCCTGGCCAGCGCCAGGGGGGCAGGTCAAGAGAAAACCGACGAGCAGCGGGAGGAGTGGTGGGAAGACGACATGGAGGAGCACGGAGTGCACGCAGATGGATGCAGGGGCCGTCGCTGAGCACTCACTCCCTTGATCTGTGCGACGACGCCCCGCCGCCTTCCTCACAGCCCGAAGGGCGGAGGGCAGCTTCGCGCATGCCGTCGTTCCCGACTGGAGCGCAAACAGCAAAGGGGGCGCTCGTCCTT